GGCTCGGCGGGGGCATGGGGAGGGGGGTTGTCACAGGGATGATGGGGATGACCTCTCCTGCTTGCTTGCAAGTTTGGGTTTGGGGCTTTGCCAGTGTTCCTTGTGGGAGCTGCTGCCTTTCCCCTCCCAGCCCAGCATGGATCTGGGATAGTCAGGAGTCTCGGAGGGCAGCGGGATGCAGAGAGCACAGGGATGGGAGGGGGGTGTCCCTGGCACCCCAGGAAATCCATGCAGTAAAGTAGGAGCAAAATGCTTCCTTCATTTGTGCCAGCATGTCATGCGTGCGGGAAGGATGGCTCCTCTTCTCCCCGGGGGTTGTCCCTGTGTTGTCCTGTCCCTGCTTATGTCCCTGTATCCCACAGCGATTCCCTGTGCCAGCACCCTGGGTGCAGATGGGACATGGGAAAGCAGGATGTCAGCTGTGGCCACAGCCTGTAATTCTGGGCACAGCTGGAGCCATCAGGGTCCAGACCTCCTTGTCCCCACTGGGCTGTGTGGGTACTGATGGAGGGTGCTGGGGCAGACCCTGCAGAGGTCACCTTCTCACTGGGGCTCTGCTCTGGCTCCAGCCAGCCTGGAGTCACTTTGGGAATCGTGGCCTCGGTCAGCATTGTATGGATCTGTGGGCTGAGGGTGGCACAGCAGGGCTTGGTGCTGTGTTCCAGCAAAGAGCAGAGCATCCCAAAACACCCGCCTGTCTCATGGAGACCAGCAGGTATTCCCAAAGGAAAACCAGCTGAGCAGCCCTGGAGTAACTGCAGTCCCAGGAGGGGAGCACAGATGAAAGGAACAGTTTTATTTTCTGGTAAACAACTATGTCTTTGTCATCTCTTGCTTTTTATCAAGCCAGAATGACTTTGTTTATGCTCCAGCATTGCTGCTGCAGTGTTGCTGCTGGGAGAGGAGACCAGAACACCCTGTCTGGGGCTGGTTCTTCTGCTTCTGGGCTGGAAGGAGCCATCTTTGCAGGGAAAGAAGCCCCAGGAGGTTTTCCTGGCAGGTCTTGCCTCTCGATGTTGCTTTTTAAAAGTGAACCTTGGCGTGTTCCCAGCTCCTGGGTGAGCCAGGGGCTGGTGCTGGCTGTGTGTACCAGTGGGCTTGTGCGTGGGACGGGCTGTGGGTGGCTTGAGGGTGTCCCGGGGGGTTCATACTTGTGGGGTTGATGCTGGTGTGATATGTCCCAGCGTGGGGGCAGGACCTGCAGCCCACCTGTTGCTCAGAAGGCTTCAGCAAAGCCGGGGCAGTCGCTGTGTCCTTGCCCACTCTGCAGGGACGTGCTGGTGCGGGAGGTGGGGGTGGCAGAACTTGAGGGGGTCCCACTGTGCTCAGGGGGCTGCTGGGTGGCTTCATGTGCAGATGGCTGGTCTCAAATTTGGCTATTTGTCCAAAATTGTTCTCAAGAGGGCTGGGGGAGGGAAGAGAATTAATCTTCATCCCGAAACAGCTTAAAATCAACCCCAAAATCTGCAAAGCCCTGCAGTTTAAGCTCTTTTAAGAGGAAGAAATAACAGAGGCAGCAAAGCCCGGCTGGGCTGGGCCAAACGGTGCCAGGTTTGGCACATTTGGTGCCCGGGGCTCTCTGACCTTGCAGAGGTTTCGTTTCCAGCCCAGTGACGGCTGCGAAGAGCAGCAGGGGTGAGCTGGGAGAGCCCTTTGCACCTTCTCCCAGGGAGGAGAGATCCCTCCCGAGGCGGTGAAGCAGCGAGCGGGGAGGAGCAGGAGCTGGTATAAATAATCCTCCCAGCCCCGTGCTGGCCGGGCAGGGTGGCTGCAGCTTATCTGCTGGCCAGAGGCCACCCAGCTCCTCCAGCTGCTGCCCTCCTGCTGCCGAGCTGGAAAGGGCTCCCGGGGGTGGTTTGTTCCTCTCCCTTCGCCGGGGCTGCGGTGGGAGGGGAGATAAGAGAGGGGCATTTAGCAGCTCTGCCCGGCCAGGCTTGTCCCCGAGGATTTCAGCCCTTAATAGTGGGAGATGTTGAGGTTTGGGTGGGAGTGGAGCAGTCAGAGCGGGGAGAGGGAAGAGGGGACTGAGGGACGGCCAAGCTGTAGCCCTTGTGTTTGGCTTCCATCCCACCTTGGCGTGTCAGGACAGGTCGTTGCCCTCTGTAATGACCCCCCCTTGGTGCTTTTGAGAGCTCGCTGGAGTGTTTGTCACAGAGGGGAGCGATGCTTCCAGGTTCAATGTGGTCCCGTGGGAGAATTCCTTGATGCTGGCCGTGGCCCGGGGCTGCAGAGGCTCTGCAGCTGGTGGAGCAGTTTCTCTCCCCTTCTTCCATCGCATCCCTCACCCATACAGGGTGGGATGCTCCTGAAGACCCCCCCACACACACACAAGGAATGCTGGCCCTTCCCCGCCACCGGTAACCGAGCTCCTTCCTCTCCCACCCCAGCAGCAGCAGTGCCGAGTCCCTGGACCGGCTGTACCCGGCGGTGGGGTCCACCAAGCCCCCCCGGAAACGGACCACCAGCCAGTGCAAGTCTGAGCCCCCCCTGCTGCGGACCAGCAAGAGGACCATCTACACAGCTGGGCGGCCACCCTGGTACAATGAGCACGGGACACAGTCCAAGGAGGCCTTTGTGATCGGTGGGTGACAGCAGCGTGTGCCCGGGCTCTGCCCCGCGCTTCAGCCACTGCAGGACAGCACAGGGAGTGTTGGTACTGCCTGTCGGGGGCTTCCCCTTCCCAGGAGATCCTGGGGGGGGATTCTTGCCCCACAACCTTCTTGAGAACTTGAGGTTGGCTCCAGGAGCCAGCTTGGAGCGGGTCAGCCAAGCCAGGAGCAGGGAGAGCCTGCAGGGTTAGGCCTGCCTGGACTGGGTGAGCCGTAGGATTGGGCAGAAGCTGAGAGCTTGCAGATGGGGGGATGGATTATAGCAGACCACAACTTTTTGCTTGTTGATCCCTCAACTCTGGTTGCCTGGGTTGTCACGAGTTCCCAGGGATTTAGCCTAGGCTGGTTCTCATGACAGCTCTCCCCTTGTTGCACAACCATCTAACGAAGGGTTTCTCAGCTTTTCTGTGCACATTGCTGGCAGTTACAGTATGTGACATTTGACATTTTCAAGGATAATCAATCTTCTGCAGTGCCTGTTGGTCTCCCTCTTTGGAGGTTCCTCCAACTTGGTGTGACAGGGTGGGATCTGGGCTCCAGCTTGTGGTTGGAAAAGCAGATCATGGGGTTGGTGACTTCATCCCCATTTCCCTTTCAGGCCTGGGAGGAGGCAGTGCCTCTGGGAAGACCACAGTGGCCACCATGATCATTGAGGCTCTTGATGTTCCATGGGTGGTTCTGCTCTCCATGGACTCCTTCTATAAGGTGAGGTTGCATGTTGTCCTGGCCAGGCTATTGGGCTGCCCTTGGCATAACTCCCTGATGGGGAAACAGTGTGGATTAAGTGAGAGCCTTGGGGCAGCAGGAGAGGTTGCTGGGCACAGCAGTGGGGAGGGAAGGCTGTGGTGGGGACAGCCATGGGGACTAACCCCTTCTCTGTGGGCAGGTGTTGACCAAGCAGCAACAGGAGCAGGCAGCCAGCAATGACTTCAACTTTGACCACCCCGATGCCTTTGACTTTGACCTCATCATCGCCACCCTGAAGAAGCTGAAGCAAGGCAAGAGTGTGAAGATCCCCATCTATGACTTCACCACCCACAGCCGGAAGAAGGAATGGGTACAGGACACTGAGGGGGGATGGGATGAGGTGGGGAGGGCCCAGGGCAGAAGTGAGGACCTATCCAGCCTCATGCAGTTGCCCTTTGCTCCACGGCTGGCTCAGGGTGCAGACTTTGGGTGAGCAGCACTGCTCTCACAGTCACTGACAACCCAGGGAGACACTCCAGGATGGGGCATGTCTGAACACACATTCTCTGTGTAACCACATCCACTCTGACTCCACAGAAAACCTTGTATGGTGCCAACGTGATTATCTTTGAAGGCATCATGGCATTTGCAGACAAGGAGCTCCTGAAGGTGAGGAAGGGTTTGGGATCAATTCTGGGGAAGCCTGACAGGCACAAGCACTGCAGCCCCCTCTCCTGCAGTCTCATATCATGCCACAAAGAGAGTTCCGGGTGCTCCTGGGCTTCTGTGCACCACTGGATGGGACCCTGTCTTTCAGCATCACCCCTGCAAACCAGCCCTCCACCCCATGGCCAGCTGCAGGGAGGTGGTGGGAGCATGCTTTCTCCTGAGTTTCAGCAGCAAGGAGATGACCTTCCCTTCCAGGTTACACCAGCTGCTGCAGCACTTTGCTGTGCAGGAGCAGTAGGCCTTGACTCTTGCAGGGCAGTTTCCCCCAGCAGAGGTGGAAGCTTTTGAGCAGAGACCTTGATCTCAGGAGTCAAGTGGTCACCTGGTGCATAAATACAATGAGAAGTCCTGTGTGATGTACTCTAGGTGACCCTGCTCTGGCAGGGGGGTTGGACTGGATGATCTTTCAAGGTCCCTTCCAACCCCTAAGATTCTATGATTCTATGATTCTAAGTCTCCCACCTCCACACTGCAGCTTGTGCAACCAGAAGCAACCTCTGCTGTGCTGGTGTTCCTAGGGTGGCCTCCTCCAGCACTTCAGGCTTTGCTGGGAGTTTTTGGGATAGATGGAAAGTGCTATAGGAAGGGCTGAGCCACACAGGAACTGAGCCGAACTCAGTCTAGGAAGTTTCCTTCCCTGCCAAGCAAGAGTTTGGGTTGCACTTTCCTGGAGCAACGATGACCTCCAGTGGTCAGCTGGATAAATCCCCCAGGAGCATCCTCAGTGTCCTGGTCTCGGGATTAATGAGCTGAGCTGCTCAGGTGAAGCCTTTGGTCTGTGTCGTGGGCATTAACTTCTCACGTCTGCTCCTCGCTCTTAAATAACGTCCAGTCGAGGTGCTGGGGCTGCTCAGCTGGGGGTACCCGCCTAACCTGCTGGGGTTTGTTCCCTCTCCTCCCAGCTCCTGGACCTGAAGATATTTGTGGACACGGACTCGGACATCCGCCTGGTGCGGCGCCTGCGCCGCGACATCAGCGAGCGCGGCCGGGACATCGAGGGTGTCATCAAGCAGTACAACAAGTTTGTCAAACCCGCCTTCGACCAGTACATCCAGCCCACCATGCGCCTGGCCGACATCGTCGTGCCCCGAGGTACCTCCCCAGGGCTGCCCCGAGGGGCCCCATCCCCCTGCCCCCCAGCCCTGCAGCTGGCAGGGACAGGAGAGGGGTTGTCCCGTGCCAAGACACAGGGCCACCCAGACACGTGTCCCCAAACACTGGCCAAAAGCAGGTTCCATAAAATCTGTGTGTTTGTCTCCTGCCCTACCAGCTCCTGCAGCTGAGCAGTTTAAAAGCCAAGGTGACTTCTAGATATTCAATAATTACATGATTAAATAAGGATTTAACAATAGCAGGAGTGTCTCCTGCTGGATGGTGCTTTGCTAGGGAGGAGGAGGCAGGGCTGTGGTGGGTTTTTAAACAGACTGGGAGCCTGGGGCAGAAACGTGTTTTCAGCACTGTGGTCCTGACCAGGCTGTCTCTGCCCTGTGCTTCTGGTTCACTGCAGGGAGTGGGAACACAGTGGCCATCGACCTGATTGTCCAGCATGTCCACAGCCAGCTGGAAGAGGTAAGAGCTGCCCAGTGCCCTGGGTGGGACTGGTGGGGACAGCCGTGCCTCTGCAGTGGTGGCACTGCAGGGAGCAGTGGGTGCTGAGGTGGGAGTGGCCTGGCTTCCCTCTGTGCTGCAGGTGAGAGCTGCAGCTCTGTCCCTGGGAACCCCTCTCAGCCCTGCTCCCTCCACTTCAGCAGAGGAAGCTGCCTGGTCAGCACAAAGTTCCTCTGCAAGGTCCAGCAGGAGCTTCCTTCCCTCTTTTGGGAAAGCAAATCATCTGGGGCCAAGCCAGTGATCTGAATGATGTACCCTCTCTGCCTGCAGCCCCCCTGGGTCCAACATCACCCCAAATCCTGCAGTATTTCAGCTCTCTGGCTCTGGCTCCTCCTCTCCACCCCCTTGCAGACACAGTCTTTCCAGTCCAGAGCCCACTTTTCCAATTCCACGTTGGGTGCAGCCCATGGGTTTCCAAACCCTAAGTCTTGCCATGTTTTAGGCCCATCCTGAGCCCTGATTGGGGTACATGCTCAATCACTTCCCCATCACTGGCTTTAATAAGTCTTTTTCTGTGTGTTTTGGGCCGGTCCTGACCAGTGGTGTGGGCCTGGGACCCTCCCTGCTGGAGTGATGCTGTTGTGTGTTGCTACAAACTCCTCCCATGCCACGGCTGTGGCTTTGGTGGTGTGGAGATGCTCAGAGCCGTGTCCTGGGAGGTGGAAGGAGCACGACCTGGAGATGGATGCGCTGGAAAGTAAAGGGCTCCATTCCTGCAGGATTTTCTGAGCCCAGGAGCCCCTCAGCCCCTGGCTGTGAGCTGGCACATGGCAGGACCCTGCCCTGCGCCCGCTCCGCAGCGGATACTGAGATCCCTGGGCAGGTTTCCCTCCAGGAGCATCCTGCTCTCCACGTGGCAGCAGCCGGGGCTTTCCGACCGCCCGGATTTACAGCACTAAGCTCCGGCAGGTTGGGAAGCTGGTTTCTAAAGCCAAGGTCACAGGAGCAAGGATCAGGGCGCTGGCACCGTTGGTGCAGGCTGAGCAGGGCAGGCAGGCAGGAGCAGGGAAAGGGCTGTTGGTCCCATCCCCTGGGATCTGCCCAGGAAAGCTCACGGCTGGATGCTGCAACGAGCAGACGCTGCTGCCAACCAGGCCAGGGGTTGGCTTTTTTGGGGGTGGCTTTCATTTACCTGGGGAGGGGAAGAAGGGGAAAAGGCTACATGTGAATGCAGGAAAATATTCCTATTTTTCCTTTTCTTTTGTCTTGAAACGACCCTGGTGTTGACAATGCTTAATACCGGTTGCATTGTGTCTTTGTGTTGCTGCCGCAGCGTGAACTCAGTGTCAGGTAAGAGCCCCTCACCCTGTCCTGTCTGTGCAGCCCGAGGCATTTCCCATGCCAGGCACTGCTTGGCCTCACCCTGACCTGCAGCCAGGACCAACAGCTCACTGGAAGCTGAGGAAAGGCCACCTTGTCCTTGGCTTTGGGAGCAGCAGGGGCAGGTGCTCCCCAGGGCTGTGTTCTCACAGCGGAGGGCAAACCCTGGAGCTGGGGCAGGGCCAGGTTTGAGCTGGGAGCCCCTGATCTCTGCAAGAGAGGCATCCTGGGATTGTCTTTTGTTTCCTTTCATCCTCGAAGACAAACGGTTGTACCAAACCACTTGCCATCCCTGGTGATTAAACATTAAATATCAATTAATAGATTAACCCAAGCAGCTCTCAGGGTGGGAGCCCTGGGTCCCTCGCTGGTCACTGGGGCTCTCAGCTGCCAGCCCTGGGAGGAGCAGAGCAGCTTTGCCATGGCAAGAGGTACCTGCTTTCCTGAAGTCCACACAGCAACTGCTTGGGGACTAAGAAAATATTTATGCCCCAATCTTGTAGGATTTCTCATTTCTCAGTATCTGCAGGTGGATGACATAAGGTATGTGCTGATGTACTTAACCTCTTCAGCATGTGGATCCAGATGTGACATTAGCCCTCTTGCCTCCATTAAGCAGCCAGCTAAGTTTCCAGGTATTTTTGTAGGAAGCAGAGGGGATGTATTACTGCAGGTGGATTTCCATCTAGATCTCCATCATTGCATGGAGGCACTTGGCTCAAGTAACCCTAAAATTTACATTTGGCATACGACAAACTTCTAAAATACCTAAGAGGTACAGGGGAAAAAAAAACCCTCTGCTTTGCTGATTTCTGCCTTTAACCCTTCATTTCCTGGCACAGGCAACTGGATGTTTTATTTTATTTCTGGTTGCTTGTTTAACACCATGGGGCCTGACATTTCCACACAGACAGTGTAAGCTTCCCCCTGTGTCTGGAGGGGCAGAGGGGAAGGTGCTCTTTAGCATGGAGAGAAGTCTGTTGGTTTAAAAAAATTACAGGAGTAACATTAGAGAGTAGGTGGGTGTGTGTTTGTGTGTGTGTATATAAGTGTGTATAAATCCTGATGTGTATACACATATATACTTTCCTTTCTCTCCAGGGATTCTCATCTTTAACCAAAGTGACCCTCAGTACAGGTGACCTTTTTGTGCACCTTAAAAAAATCAGGTATTTAATAATATGTCGAGAAAGGATTAGTAATTTTGTGACAGCAAGTTTGGAAAGGTAACTCTGACCTCCAGAAATAACTCCATGAAATCCACAGCTGCGGACGTTTTTATGTTCTGTTAGGGCTCGTGGCTTCCATTTATGCCTTTGCCAGCAAGTCTGGAGAAACTTTCCTGCAAAAAAAACCCCAAATACCTCTTTGCAGTCCTGGAGTCCCCGTGCTTTCACTGGTGCTGTGGTTTCCCAGCAGCTCCTCTGTGGCTCTGTGCTTGCTAGAGGAGCCAGGTGGATGGGGAGACGTGTGGCAGGAGAGATGTGCTGGGCAAGTAGGAGGCTTTCATCTGAAACAATTCCCTATCCTCTTGTCTTGAATGGCTTCATCTAAATGTCACAGTTGTTGTTCTGATGTCACTGCCTTTTGGCAGCTGTGGGGATGTAGAGAGGTCTTTGTAGCTGGTAGAATAAAACCTGGATGTTGGTCCCACCCCGAGGTGCTGCTCTGGTCCTTGTTCTCCAGGCAGGCCCGGGGCTCCTTCTCCTGACCCGGAGGGTGGCTGGGATGGGCAGGGGCTGCCTCTCCCTGGCTCTCAGCTGGTCAAACAGGTGAATTCTGAGGAGTTGAAAGGAAGTGTTGCTGTTCCCTGGACCTGCGAGCCTTGTTTTCCTCCCACAAGTGCTGGCTGCTGAGCAGCATCGTTGCCTTCCACTCTGTTCCCTCAGAGCGCAGGTCAGACCTTGTCTTGTCCAGCTTCCCACGTGTCTAAATGTGCAGGTGCTGGGGATGTAATCACGTACAGACACTCCCTTCCCACCTGTGCCCAGGTGAGTATTTCTCCTGGAGCCCAGCAGCAGGAGCCAGGTGGCTGTGCCCACCAAGGCACACTGCTCTCAGCCTCTTCTCCATCCCTTCTGCCCCACTGCCCCAGCAACCAGTCCAGCCAGTGCTCCTGGTAGCCCAGTTCCCCTCGCCCATCAATATTCTCCACCCCCAAGGTCTCAATCAGCTTGACATGCCCTTTGCCAGTTGTGTCTTTAAATACCAACCCGTGGTGCAGTTTCATAGCCCTTGTTTGAAATGTCAGCCAGGAAGGGCCGCTGTGCGTGTTTGAAATGCCTGGACTGCATTAAGCTCCTTTGTAGCTGGATGTCTCTTGTCTGCTTCCTGCTTGATAGCATGCTCAACCAAGAGCTGAGGATGTTCCCTGAAGCCTTCCTGAGAGATGGTCACCCCTTTCTCTCTCTCTCTTTCTCTTTCTCCCTTGCTTTCTTTTTATTTATTTTTATTCTTTAAAGCTTTTGTGTCTGGGGGGAAGAAAGAAGTTTCCAAAGGGAGGCGTTTTCTTGACGTGCTCGTGCCAATCTGAATTTTCCGTGGCTGCCCTGCCCAGCTGGGGAGGGATGGGAAGCACTGGCCTGGCAGGCAGGCTGCCTGCAGGTCATGGAGGCAGAGACCTGCTCCCTCCATCCCACCGGGCAGGGCTGGGCGAGGGGCTGCAGTGGAGGCAGGAGAGGCTGGGCAGTTCCCTCTGCAGCCCCTCTCCAAGGGATGGGATCCCAGGGCAGGTCCAGGTCAGCTCAGGGAAAGGAAGGTCTTCCCAGTGAGCGATGTTCAGTTCAGAGCTGGGTTTCTCTCCAAGTTCCCAGTGCTCTTGGCTTTCCAGGCTCTCTGAGGCTTGAGCAGATCATCTCTCCAGCAGGGCAGGTTGGAGGACGGTTTTGCAAGCTCAGCCTTGAGTGTCTGTGCTTGTGCTGGGATTGCAGCAGAGCCCTGGGTGAGGGCTGGGCACTGCCCTCCGGCTCTGAGCGCTGCAGCTGGTGTTCAGTGTGGTACCACCTGGGACATAGATGGGACAGTGTCCCTGCTGTGACGGGGGTGGTGAGAGTGGACAGAGCTTCTCCCTGTGGAGCTGGTGATGTGGAGAGCAACAGGGACGTGACTGGTGTCTGCACAGTGGTGGCCTGGGCAGGTCCAAGAGCCATAAGACCAATTAGGGCTTTCCCCCCCCCATCCTTGACTAACGACGGTGCTTTTTCCTTTCTTTCATGTCGTGTTTGTTCCTCTCCCCTTAAACTCTGGTGTTTCCTGTCTTGTCCTCCCTTGAACATCCCTTCCAACCTGGTGACCAGAGGAAGCTGCGCTGGGATATGTGAGGAGACAAAGGCTTAACAGCAGCGTGTGGTTGTGACACTAACGCTGGGACACGGGGCTGTGCCGGGGGAACCGCTACTAACCCGGGCTGGCAGCTCTCGGGGTCCTGCTTTGCCAGGGCTGTGCAGAGCAAACTGGGGCAGGGTGACTTGAGAGACCATCTCTGTCCTGACCCCAAAAATGGCACCTACTGTTGTCTCTTCTAGAAAGCACCCACTGAGCAGCTTCCCTGGGCTGTCAGGGACGGGGACCCGAGTGGGGTTGCATCCAAATGTCCCCACGCTGAGCACTGAGTGGGTGTCGCTGGAAGGTGTGGAAAGCTGGGTGACAAAAGGCTGACAGCATCTCCCCGGGGGTTGTTGACAGCTCAGAGTGCAGGGGAGGTGTTCCCAGGCACGTGGGGCTGCTCTCAGGGGCAGGAGAACTTGCTGGCATTTGCAGGAAGAAACAGGAGCTGGGTGGGATCAGAGAGGGGGGCAGGAGAGGGGCTGCCTGTCCTGCTGGAGGGGCAGGATGCTGTGACATGGAGCTGGCAGTGGTGGAGGGGAGAGGTGGCCATGGCAAGCTCAGGTGTGTGCCACCATGGTGGGTGGGAGACAGCCCTGTAAGCTATGACCCTGATGGTTCCTCTGGTCTGGGGGACAGTTGGTGTGTGGCTCTGTTGATCTCTGCCCCCCTAGAAGCAGACAAACAGGCAGTGCCCTCCAGGCAGGGCCCAGGTCCTCTCCCACCGTGTGGGTCTGCATCCATGGGCCAGAAGGAGGTTAGGCAGGGCTGGATGGCAGCTGTGCCCCCAAGGTTCTGTCCCAGGGTCAGGTCTGGCAGGAGGAAGGTAGGGGCAGAGCTGCTGGTGCTGCCAGCAGCACGGCCCTGGTGTGGGAGCATCTCTGAAGGCAGCTAACCCGGGTTGTGGTGGTGACTAACAAAGTGAGCTCGCTTCACTGACTGCAGGTCCAGGGCCTTGAGGGCTGCTTGTCCCAAAGAGGAGGTGTCCCAAAGTCTGTGGTGGGAGCACAGCCCATCTGCACAGCCCCCAGCTGGCGTGGCTCTCGGGAGCACTCCCTGCAGAGGGGCTCTTTGCTGCTGCACAGGACTGGAGCCTGCAAAAGCAAGAAGGAGCCCTTAAGTACCCACAGGCCTTGGGAATGTCTCATTTGGTGTTGGTTGGCCAAGAGCAGGAGATGGCTATGTGGATGGAGGCCTCAAGTCATTTAGCCCTGCCTTCCTCCATTCCTACCCAGTCATCTTCTCTGTCTCTTTCTCCGCTTGTTTGCCTCTGTGTGTGTGTGTGCAATTAATCCAGGTTTCTGCTTGATTTGAAGTCTTAATCACTCGGTGCTTTGTTTGTTTGCTCTCTTCTCCTCCTCCCCAACATCTCTCTGGCCGGGATGCAGACGCTGGCACGTGTGTGAGCTGACGTGTGTGTGTGGCTTTTGGACCCCAGCCCTCCTCCCAGACAAAGTCACTTGTCCATCCTGCCCAGCCTTGTGGAAGCCAGGCAGATGTGACCTTCATCTCATTACTGCCACTCTCAAAGAGAGGGGGTGACTAATGGGGCTCCATTGTGCGCTTCCCCATGAATGGTGTTCTCTTGATCCCAGAATAGCTCCCAACCCTATTAGTTATGTGGAGATGAGTCACACAAAGCTGTAAAGTCTTGAAGCTGTTCCCAATTCGGTGTCGATCTGACTGTCCTGAATGAGCCAAAGCTGCCTCTGATACAGTCTTGTTGCTACAACCTGGCTCTGCATTGAGCCGTGTGCCAGTGCCACAGGCCTGGCTGCCAGGCCCATTCCTGGTGACATCAGGCACTTGTCAGGACAGAGGCAACCACAACAGTTCCTCCTCAACCTAAGAGTTCAGGATTTACCACTTGATAAGATTCCCCAGTAGGTGAAGGGGTTTTTTTCCACTTTTTTCCCAATCAGTACAAACCAAGATGGGCCAACCATTGGTCAGCTGCCCAGCAGGTCCTTGGGCTGCAAGACCCTGTGGGCTCCACTGTCCCATTCATGGCAGCAGATCCCTTTGCTATCATGGTGGCCTGGACAGGGCTGGCTGCTCGTTTGGCTTGGCTGGATGGCCTTGGTGTGTGTTTGCAGTGTGAGATGACATCTGGGAGGATGGCTCTGGCCATGTGCTGTGCACCAGCCTTCAGGCAGCCTTGCTTGGAGACCTTCTGACCATGTGTTTGGTTTTCAGGGCCGCCCTGGCCTCTGCCCACCAGTGCCACCCCCTTCCTCAGACCCTCAGTGTGCTGAAGAGCACCCCTCAGGTGAGGGGCATGCACACCATCATCAGGTAAAGCCCCTGGCACCACGGCCTCCCGGGGTGGGATGGGGCTTGGCTGCCACTTGGGGTGGGCTCAGTTTGCTTTGGGCTCCTAAATCCCACTCCACTTGTGCCATGTCCCTACAGCTTGGGGACACAGGACAGGGCAGACAGTGGTGGACCCTGCATACAGCAGCTGTGCTGTGAGTGCTCCATGGTCTTGCCAACACTTTTTCTGCCTTTTACCTTAAAACTGCCATAATTCCAGGCTCCCCATGGACCCCATGCAAACAAAATGCTAGCACCCTCCTCCACGCAAGCCTCTGACCTTGCTCAGCATCTCCGGGAGCATGTTTTAGTCCAAAGCTTGCGTTGCCTTTCCCTCCTCTCTAGAAACAAGGAGACCAGCAGGGACGAGTTCATCTTCTACTCCAAGAGGCTGATGCGGTTGCTGATCGAGCACGCGCTCTCCTTGCTCCCATTCCAGGTGGGTGCAGGGGTGTAGCTGGAAGGGTGGGCAGCAGGCACTGGCTTTCCTCTCTGATCCCCAACCCATAGCTGCTGGGGAGCCAGGACAATCGGGGCACTCCTTCTCCAACCTGTATCAGCCCTGTCCTCCTTGATTAAAAAGGATCAGGGCTCCCCTAGGCCATGGAGCAATGGGATGGCCCTGGGTGACAACCCTTCATGCAGCCTTGGTTTTTCCAAGGGTCCAGACCAGCTGGCTGGCTCCCCAGTACCAGAGCTGCTCCAAGAGCCACATCAGAGCCCCTGGTAATGCTTCTCACATGGTTTTTTGCAGAGTTGCACAGTCCAGACCCCTCAGGGACAGGACTACGAAGGGAGGACCTACAGTGGGAAGCAAGTAAGTGGAAGCAAAAGGTGCTAATGAGCTCTGCCCCGGGAGGCTACACTGAAATGGAAGGACATTCCTGGCTTCTCGGGGCTTTCATCAGGCCTGGCTTTGCAGGCCCAAGGCCTTCCTGGGGGGGTCTGTGTCCCCCTGCCCTCCCTCAGCCCCTGCTGTGTGCTGCAGATCACCGGGGTGTCCATCCTGCGCGCGGGGGAGACGATGGAGCCGGCGCTGCGGGCGGTCTGCAAGGACGTGCGCATCGGGACCATCCTCATCCAGACCAACTGCAACACAGGGGAGCCCGAGGTAGGGTTGCCCAGGGCACCTCTCCAGGCCTTGGCCTTGCACACGGGAGGGGACCTGGGCGTTTTTTGAGAGCTCCTCAGCCCTCCAGGAGCTGATCTTGGCAGGGATGGAGTGCTCAGGAGCGAGCGCTTTGAAAGCTGCTGAAGTGGGTTTTGCCAGCGCGTGTGCATGGGGGGCTGGTGTGAGCCCAGGTGTGAGCCCAGGTGTGAGCCCAGGGCTCAGCCCCACGGTGACAACTGGGGTCACAGAGACACCTGAAGGATCCTTCACCCCTCTTAAGAGAATGGTCTGAAGTTACAGCAGGGGAGATTCAGGTTGGATACTAGGAAGAATTTATTTACTGGAAGAGTGATCAGGCACTGGAACAGCCTGCACAGGGAGGTGCTGGAGTCACCATCCTTGGATGTGTTCAAGAGGGGTGTAGATAAGGAGTTTCAGGGCATGCTCTAGTGGCCGAGATTGTAGGTTGCATGTTGTGGGTATTTTGGGGGGGGGTGTTGGTTTGGGGGGGTTTTTTGTTGGTTTTTTTTCTTGTTTGTTTTTTTATGGTTGGACTCAGTGGTCTCTGAGGTCCTTTCCAACCTATTCTGCGAGAAGGGCTGGGTGGGGGTTTGCTCCATTCAGGAGAGACCCTTGTGTGGCAGCCTCTAAACTGACCTCTCTTCCCCCTGCCCAGCTCCACTACCTGCGGCTGCCCAAGGACATCAGTGAGGACCACGTCATCCTGATGGACTGCACGGTGTCCACGGGCGCCGCGGCCATGATGGCGGTGCGGGTGCTGCTGGTACGTGGGGCTGGGGACAGGTGCTTCCCTGCCAAAGGACCTGCAGGACATCAGCTGCAGCCAAGGGACCTTGTGCTGAAACTGCAAAGAAGGGTGTCACGGGAGCCAGCATGGGATGGGGTGACTGTAACCAAGTGTTGACTAAGTCACCCCTTCCTTGGGTAGTTACAGCCTGGATTTAGTTGGGTTCTTGGTCTTGTGACCCAGCTGGCCACAGAGGAGAAAAAGTGGCTCCAAGAAGGCCCTTGATTGCTTGGAGTGCTGCTCCCTGCAGGAACAGGGCATAACATGCCTTGGATACCCTTACCCTGAGCTATCTCTGTGCCTTTGTTGCAGGATCATGACGTCCCAGAAGACAAGATCTTCCTCCTCTCCCTGCTTATGGCAGAGATGGGTGTCCACTCAGTTGCCTATGCTTTTCCCCGGGTGAAGATCATCACCACAGCTGTGGACAAGAAGGTGAATGACCTTTTCCGGATAATCCCTGGCATCGGTGAGTATCCGGGTAGGAATCAAACCAGGGGGATTGTCAGTGCTTCTGGCCCACTCTCCAGAGGAGATGAAGCCCTGGTTGTTAGCAGCACCTTAGGTCTGGCCTTATTTCACCCAGGGACCCACTGCCTCTCCTGGGTCCTGCTGCCATGTTGGTGTTGGGATCAACATGCACACTCTGAGAGCTGCCAGGCAGCCCTGACCTTGTTGGCAGAAGGACCCATTCCTGTGAGCTTCCTCAGGTGGAGGAGCTGGGCTGGGATGGCTGGAGCAGACCTGTGCCCACCTCCTTCCCTAAGCTGCCACCTTCATCAAGCTCATCCAAAACAAGCTCACTGTGTTCTTCTGTCCTCACCTCTGCTGTGCCAGGAAACACCCCTGCCAGGGGGTGCTAAAACAGCCTCCAGGCTGCTCCAGTTTTGCTGCCACACGAGCTTTGGTGCTGGCCAAGCTGTCAGATAAACCTGCTTTTGTTTCCTCACCTGCTGGGAGGAGGGCAGGCTGGAGGATGGGCCCCAGGGCTGCACCACCAGGACATCTCTCTCCTCACAGGGAACTTTGGTGATCGGTACTTCGGGACGGACGCTCCCCCTGACTGGAGTGATGATGAAGATGCTCTGAGCACTTAGCTGGATGTGGAGATGCCAGTGGCACCAGGCAGCTTCAGCACTGCACCTTAATCCCTCTGTCCCTTGCAGATTTCTTCTCTTCACCAAGCATAGATATTTTTTTCAAATCTTACATTGGAGATCTAGGGCATATTTTTTCAAAGAAACACAAATCCTAGTTTGACGTTATGGGCAGTCGTGTGTCCCAGCAAAGAGTGGAGTTAATTTATTTTAATTTAAATATTTGCCTATATAACTTATTGGAGATATTTTATAAAGAAAAATAATAAATTTTTTCTCTGGTTTTCTTGAATGGAGCCACTCTCTGTCCCAGGAGGATTCACAGCTCTTCAAGACTGCTGGGGAGATGCTGCGAGCGGCAGGGGGAGGTCAAGACCTCCAGGAGAAGGGTTGGTACCTGAGGAGAGGCTGTTCTTCACCTCAGCTGGGATCACTTCACCCTTTAGCTTAAGCAGCTCCTAGGGCCTGTTTCAGTTTAGCAACCAAGTGAAACGTTGCTCACCCAAACACCAGCCTGCTCTTGCTAATCTGAGCTGCTCCAGCCCTGGTGAGGAGCAGGGCTTGTTCTCCAGGAAGCTCTTAGCAGGCTGGGGTAGCCTCAGCAGGAGAGCTGGGTTTACTCAGAGGAGGCTCTCACCCCTAGGGCTCAATGCTGAGTATTTTCCTGTCCTGCATGATTCAACATGCTGGAGATAGATGGGCCAAGAGGAGCAAACCTGTCCCTTGGCTGGGTGTCCCTGGCTGGGAACCATCTCCAGAGGGGCCAGGAGCTGCGGGCAGCGAGGAGAGCGTGGCTGGAGGGGGAACGTTCTGCCAGCCCCTTGCTGAAAGAGAGAGATGCCTGATGCTAGTGTAGGCTCAGGTGTGATGAGCCCAAAATAACTGCCCCCCTGCTCTGCAGCACGGTGTATAAATTCTGAACTACATCTAAAAGCCCAGGCACACCCCAGCTCTGCGGGCGCAGAAAGTCTGAGCCCTCGGCTTGAAAGCCACGCTCAGAGCCAGCACTGACACTTGATTAGTGTCTGCTAAAAATAGCTCCTTGCGTAGGTGGAAGGAGAGCTCATGAGCACAGACACAAGAGGACAGGCAGACATGGGGGGTTTTGGCTGGGGCACCAGGGGAGCAGGGGTGGGACAAGGGGCAGCAGCACCAGCAGGCCCAGGGAGGAGCATGTTGGCACCTGGAGTCCTTCCTGGGGGCTGCAGCCACCAGCGCAGGAGCTCAGTGCTGGAGGAGCCCAGCATCTTCCTTCTAGACCATGCTCAACCCATGAATGAATGCCAACATCCTCCCTCGTGCATAAAGCTCCAGCAGACCTAGTTTGGGCAGTGCCATTGGCCACCTTGAGGGAGACAAGAGCATGTGTGGGTCTGGGACAGCGTTTGCCCCCAGGTCCACATGGCACCTTCCCCACCCCTCCTTCTCAATGCGATGGTGACTTCAGCAGCAAAGGCTGTGGCTGGTGGCTTCAAGCCCAGGTGGTTCTCCTCCCTGCTGCCATTACCTTCATGCCAGGGCCACGGTGCCATCTCAGACCCCCTCAGCCTCCCTTGGCCATGGTCCCGAGAGCCTGCCAGGCCCCTCTCCCCCACCCCACCATTACCTGTGCTACAAGGTGGAATGGGTTGGGTTGGCTCCAGCCCCAGGGCAGCAAACACACCACGCTGGGAACACGCATGGGAGGCTCCTCTCCCTGCCCATCAGGTGTCTGTGCTCCCCAGCACTGACTCTGCTGGCTGCTCACAGGCCTGGGCAGTGGGAGCAAGAACAAATTTTAAAAAAACCAAACATTTAATCACTTTTTTTTTCTTGCCAAGATACTGATCTGGGGCTTTCTCAGACAGCCCCAGCCCTGCGGCTGCGGGAGCTGCTGGTGCTGCCCACGCTGCTGCTGCTCCTGGCAGGACCTCTCTCCTCACCAGCCCGAAAGAGCCCTGGGGGGGAGGTCACACCATTATATATAATTTTTTTTTAAGTGGAAAAAAGCACAGATGTGGTGAGTTGTTGAGCCATGACGTGGTGCTTGGCTGGTCCTGATCCGGAGCAGGAGAGAGGGCAGCTGCCCTCACTGCTCCAGCCCCTGGTGACCAGCCCAGCCAGGGACACCATGCAGGACAGCCACCCTCCCCCAGCCTCCTCCCCAGACATGGGGGCACTAGAGAAAGTGTGGGGTGAGGGGAACCCCCAAAAAAACCCAACACTAACCTCTCTTTCTTCTCAGCACGCACCCAGGCAATGCCACACTTCTAGCTCTCCCATTAAGGCAGCCAAAAAAAAACCCTCAATACCCAAAGGAATTTGATTTCTTGCTCTCACAAGGTGCCCCAGGGCTGCAGTCCCCCCTCCCTAGGTTGGGTCCCACCCCACCAACACAAGACCCCTCCCGTCTCAACAGAACCAGCCCAGCACCAGGACAAGGCTTTGCTTGACTTCCTGCCCAGCAGCTGAAGCCACCCAACCCACAGCTCATCTGACCAGCAGCACAGGCTCTTTAACACCATCCCCTCATCACTAAAAATAGATGGGAGCAGTTAAAAAAGAAAAAAATGAGAAAAAGAAAAAAAAAAGAGAGAGAGAAAAAAGAGAGAACAATATCTGTTGACCATCAAAGCCAAAACACATTCATTCTGAGGCAGCAGCACCTGAGAGGAGAATTTTAGGGTTGTATTTTCTCTCTCTGCAGCATATGGGCTTGGTTTTCTTTGTCAGAGATGAAATATGTCACTGCTGCCAGCCTGGGGTAACTGCCTGAGGCATCTCCAGTGCTGGTGGCCACCCTGTCTGTGGGCTAAGTGGGGCTGGGAAGTGACCCACTGATCAATCAGGGCAGAACAAACAACTCACTTTCCTTTCAAACCTGCTACTTGCTCCTTTCCTGTTTGTACAGAAAAGGGCAGAACTTTTGGGCTGAAACCTGCCCGCTCACCCCCCTGCTCATCTGAGCACTTGGCAATTCATTGCAGGAGTGGGCAGTGCTGGGGCTGGGCAGAGCAGAGTGCCACAGCTCGTGGGACCTGGCAGCTCCATCCCTCAGCTCTGCAGGGCACAATCTTGAAAAAAAACACCCAAAAAACCCCAAACAAAACCCTTAATTTCTGTCTATCATAAACGAGGAAATTTGTTGCCAGCAAAATTTGTTGCTGGTGGGGCTTGAGTTGCAAAGGCAGCTCTGATAACAGGCAGGTTTTCAGAAGCCAAGTAGCAAAACAGCAATGGAAAAATGGGGTATTTTGAAGCCATTGTATGAGCAGCATTTGAGCCAGAGCCCAGCCAGCACGTGCCACATGTTACAAACATTTACTGGTGCCACTGGAAACTTTTTTCACCAACGCCTGAAGTTAAACTCACTCTGTCCTCTGCTGAACGAGACCCTTGGTCAAGGTCACTCACCAGAGAGATTTCTAAAAATTAAAGGCCTTTAAAAGATTTCCTTCAACCCCAACAAATACACGCTGAAGATTCCTGTGACATCCGTGGCCCCTACACTGAATAATTGCAATGAGAAAGGGTTGGAAAAGAGTTTGATAGAATGATCCAAAGCACAGGAGAAACCTGGAGTTCAGCACAGTGTCCATGGCTCAAGCTCCCTGCAAGTACCTTTGCAAAATTGTACTGCATCATCTATCTTCTTTGCTGCCACAGTTGTTTTAGTGTTAATTAATGAGAAACAACACTGTTGTGCTAACGACAACCTGCAGATCTCGGGCAGAAAAGCCACAGCGTGGCTGGCAAGACAGAATCAGTCACATCATTTAACCAACCTTCATTTTTCTTCTGTTCACCACGAGCTGTGCTGGGGAAGGGTCAGTCCAGCGTGGAGCACCCCTGGGTGAAGGCTGCAGACACGGGGCTCCCCGGTGGGAAGCAGCAGGTCGGCTGATGCCAAGGACACAGGTCGCTGCCGCGCATCCCCAGCTCAGGAGCTTCTGGGGGAGAAGCCGTGCCCTGGGAAACACACGGGTGTCAGAACACAGGCTGCTGGAGCAGAGGGAGAGAGCTGGGAGCCCCAGAATTCCTTCTGTGTGTCTAATTATCTGAAAGAAGCAGCAGAGAACGGGCACGTGCCTTCCTTCTCCTGAGAGCAAAAGCCGCACTAGGAGAACAGAAGGCTCTGAGCGGTGCAGCCTTTCCAGCAGCTCACTGAGCCACAGCCTGGTCCCTGGGCAGCCCAGGCTGGGGAGATTCCCTCATCCCACACCAACGGGGAGGAAAACCAAGGCCCTGGAAGGAGAGTGGGCAGGAAAGGAGATGTTCTCCATCCCCTCAGGGACAGGGAGGACCTGGAGCACCAGGGGATGCTCCGCAGCTCCCGCAGCCAGGACATCCCTCCTCACCTCCCTCTCTCCAACAGCAACTGGGGCACTTTCTCAGTTTCAAGCGAGTCAAGAGAAGCGCTAAAACCCAGAGTTGGTTTTTTGGTTGGGTTTTGGCTTCATTTTTAATTATTATTTTTTTATATATATATCCTTTTTGCTCCACTCCTCCCTGCCGCCCCGTCCGTCCAGCGTGTCATGGAAATTTCAGCACAGAGGTTCGTGCTGCGCAAACAGGAAGCCAGCAGAACGTGTGACAACCTGCTGCAGCCCCGCTCCACTCACCCAGGGACAAGGGAGGACATAAAAGCCAGCGTGGGGGTGGCAGGGTGAGGAGAGAAGGCCAGAGGGGCCGGGCAGCTGGTGCGGGGGGTCATGGCGGGACGGCAGGTAAGGCAGGTGCTGCCCTGCACCTTCTTTCCCTCCCTTCTGCACAGGGGATTTCTAGTTATTCTTGGAGGTCTTTAAGCTGCTTGACTCCTTCTTGCAACATGGAGGAGTTTGCTGCTACTTCATTGCTCTGTCCCAAACTTGCTGAAACTTCTCTCTGCTCAGAGGAACTAATTTTTTTGGCTTTTTCCTTTCTTTTTTGTTTTTTTGTTTGGTCTTTACGGTCCATAATGCAAAGATTTAAACCCCACCCCAAAGCCGATCACACATTTTCAATAGAGGTATCTGAGAAGCTAAAGCTGTGCTGAGGCTCTGAAACCCCCTTAGATCCTGCCTGAAAGATTTTTCTTACCTTTGCTCCAGGGAAAATCCAGACTCGTTCCATGTACAAAGCCTTGGCCCCGGGGGGTGCCCCGGGTGCCTCTGCCTCAGCCCAGGCCCTGCACCTGGGGATGTGACAGGACCCAAATGAAGCAAGAAATCCAGAAAGGGGCTGGAAATGGATCCCAGAGTTCTCTGACTTTTTCGGACAGATTTCTAAGCTCGCACACCCTGCAGCAAATCTGTGGCTGCTCAACTTGGAAAACCCTTCCCTTGGCTTTTTTAGTGAGTGAGTTCATTTGAATTGAAGGGGGTTTAACCTCTTTCCACACTCACAGCAGAGCGCTCAGCCATGAGGCTGCCAGAAACAGCAGCCACACACCCCCCCCCTTCCCCAGGGAAGGGCTTTCAGCATCCCATAATGTTAGGAAAGCAAATCAGGGGAAAAAACCTGTTACCTGCAAAGTTGGGCTGAAGATTTTTGTGTTACTGACTTCCAGCTCCTGCTGCTGGTGTGGACACTGCTGCCATGGGAGCAGCTGCTGCCAAGGGAAGGAGATCTGGTCTTCCCTGCCAGGGACACTGGTGGCCCAAAGGATCACAGCAAGGGAAAGCCATTAGATGTGAAGACAGTTTGAAGATAACAAGGTGCTAGAAGGTTTCCTGGGGTGCAGGCAGGCTCTCCATTGGTGGTGTTTCCAGGAACAGGCAGCTTTCAAAAATGGTGAAGGCAGAGTTAACCCCACAGCCCGGCCATTCATCTGGCCCATGGCTGCAGGTCCCCAGGCTGGGGACACATCCCTCCTCCTACCCCTCACAGCACCTGCTTTGTGATGCTGAGCCCAGAGACAGTCCTGGGTGCTGCTGCAAGCAAGGTGCAATGGTGGGGATGGAAAAGAAAAGGGGAAGGCACAGAGGCTGAGCTGCCAGCCTAGCTCAGGGGGTCCAGCCCTGCCAGACCCCCTTTCACACCCCCTGCACAGCCTTGGAGCCCTTCATCCAAGCGGCTCCAGGGGAAACCAGCCTGCCACCTGCATCCCTTTGGGAAGGGGCTGGTCCATGCAGAGGAGTCAGGCCGGGAAGGAGAGGAGCTCAGTCCCACCACAGGAAGGCAGAGCCAAGAAGCCCTTTGTGTTTTCTTCCGAAGCCCCCCAAGGCCGGGGGGGCGGAGCGAGCAGATGGGGGGGACACGGGGGGGGGGGGACAAC